TATTTCATATGTATTTTAAATATTTTATTACTTAATACTTCATTTTAATTTTATTTATAGACGTGACAATATTATTTGAAGTTCAGATCTGCTTCGATAGAGTTGAAACGATATGAAGTTAATTATATATGTTTAGAAAAATTATTTATTTCACGTGCCTAATTCAACTTCGGCGACATTTACAATTGACGATGGATCTACGATCTGAATTTCCTTTATCGTTTCTTTTGTAACATCATTACTAGTATCCTGCTAACTTTTTATCGTTGATATAGTGTCGAGTTTTGAAATTACATTTTTCTGTTAGATATACTATCATGTTTTTTTTTAAGTTATTTTGGTTTATTGCATAAATTTGACTGCAAAAACTTAATTTATGATTTAAAATAACGTTTTGATGAAAAGGCATTTGAGAACTACATCATTAACTCACTTTTTCCTCCACTTCTAGCATTATTTCTTTCATTTTCTCATCCATAATATAGGGATTGCTATTAGAATCTTGCATTTTGTCATTTATATTTTTAATATAATATGTTGGATTAATTAGTTTCCACTCATCCTTTTCAATAGGAAATAAGGTTAAAAAATTTCAAATTTGTTCATTAATAACATTGAACGAATAATTGTTAAACTTATAACTTTCATAAAATGCGACTATTAGTATAACTTACTTCATTATCAAGATTTACACTATCTTCATTTTGTAATATTCCCCGTTTAGAATCATTTGTCTCGAGCGATATGTTCGATTCATTACTTTTATGAAACCCTATTTCTGCAATTTTTATATCTGTTTATATATTGTTTTGAAATGCAGATTTTGTTATATTTTTTGATTATATAAATAAATATTAGTTATTCATAGTTAAAATATATGCTATCTACAGTATTCGATAACAATGTTGTTTTCGATTGTTCGTAAATATTCTGAAGAAAAAAACATTATTATCAAATTCTTTTGCACATTACCCTTATTGTCATACCTTCATTCAGCATTGTATATTCAGTATTGCATATGTTATACTTCGGGCATAAATAAAAAAATTCTCGCGTGTTTTCGGCAAGTTTGCCAGTTTCAGATGGACTCGATGCTAAAATATTTTCGAGCCATTTTCGATTTTCACATTGATAAAACAAAGTTTCCTCGCTCGCTTTCTGCAGCAGGATTAAAATGTTTCTATTCATCGCGGATAAAACGTTTTCTCATTTTAAAGTGAATAATTTACCTTCACTTTATCGTTCATTGCATGTATAAGATTATCAAGGTTTCTCACTTGTAAAATTTCTTTTTCCATCCACTCATCTTTCGTATCAATGCTTAAAACATCAATGCTATCGTTGTATTCGTCTTCGTACAATTTCTCATCGTTATACGATAAATCTAATTAAGCACAATCCGTTTTACTGTAGTTTATATAACAAAATATATACACAACGAAAAATTGCCGAAGAAGAATCGTGGAAGTGTTTAGATATACGGTAGAAGCCAGATTAAATCGAATACTTAAAAAACTATTTCAGATCGATCAGTTTACGTAAGTACACACAACGCGATAAGTAGAATAATCAGTTACAAACGAACATATTCTCTGGTAAGAATGCAACAATAATAATACAGTTATCTGAATGTGTCAGCATTTGTTCATGTCTTTTTTGTCGTCGTTACTCGAATTAGGTAACAGTAAAGTACCTCTCTTTGCCTTCCATGAAATTTCGGTGTTTTCCATTTGATCATCCACGGTTGAAAACTCAGACGAGTCTTTCGTCATTGAATACGTGGATGATTCCATGGCGGAAAGACGTTCCGTTCTTTGTGATTCTATAGATGATGAACGACTCAAGTTGTTAAACGGCATTTTATCGTGTTTCGAAGCGTTTTTAGGTAGAGACTGATTTTCATTGATGCTATCCTTGGAACGGATTGATTTCATTTTGATTTCAGCTGAGGTGGGTGAATAACCGCGTCGCTCGGCACTCGGATTGGCTATGAAGGTACGCGATGGTTGATTACTATTGACTTTACGACGCGATCGTGATTGCGTTTTGTACTCCTCCTCGTCGCTGCTACCCTCCGTGTATAATTCTTCCCCTGATATCCATAATTCTTCTTCTTCCTAAAGATGTTGATATTCATTTGTTTTTTTTTAATCGATGACTTATGCCTATGTTGTCAATTATAAGCACAGAACAGAAACTACGTATAATTTTTTTACCTCCTTTTTAATTTTGGCAAGTTGAGATTGTACCGCGATTTTCATCGATTGCTCCTGCGATTTTGGATTGCTCGTTGTTTTGTTGGCCATCCTATTACTAAATATAACATGGCTATATATATAAATAAATAAATAATTTCGTAGTTTTGGCATATGAGAATGTTACATGGGGGATAACGAATATATTTAGCATCGCAAGATCATCCACGAGTAAAAGGTCGGTTTGAAAGATTAATTTAAACAATCAGAAAATTTATGGAAAATCGACTGCGACTGTATTCAAGAAAATTTGTAAATTCTTTTTATGCAATTCGGTTGATTCGAAGCACGTAAGTGACGCGTCCTTGAACTAGGAAAAATCTAAAAGGGAGGGTGAAACGGGTCAGGGTTACACATCACGATAAGTACATGCGATTCACGGTTACTGAAAATTACTATGATTTGAAATTTAATACGGAAGTGTTCTTACTGATAACTTATCGATGTTATCATATGTCGTGGACATACATGCTAACTTCGTATTTAACTTTTATTACCTTTCTTGTTTACTTTTATTTATTTGTTCATAAATGTTATAAACTTTTCTATTATCATATTTCACGTTAAAAGTCATTCGATAAATAAAACGTATCATTCAGTATAATGTAAATTTCAATCGATAAATTATTTTACTGATATACACATTTTAAAATGTTAGTTCAACAAAATTTCACTCGCAAATCGCGAGTTTTTACATAAATTTAATTTAAATGATTAATTTGCAAAATTTGACAGTATTACCTCGATCTTTCCGGTCTCACGCTTCTTGGAATCGAGTATCGCGAGAAAGATTCACGTGGTGGTTTTCTGTATAATTCTCGATTATGCAATGACTCTCAATAATGACAGGTGTTATCAGACTGCATTCTTGCAGATCTAGATTGTTGAATTAATATTTTCCAGTTTTTAAATGTTTGTCTAATACATTATTGAGCTTATTACTATGTTGTGTTTATCATGCAATGCACGTGACGTTTTGTTGTTATGCTATAGACTGATTCACGAGAGTAAAGCGTTTTGACGTTTCTTTCTTCGCGTTTCTTATTGTGCTATATTAGCAGGTACTTGAAAGCTGTACGAGCCACTGCACACTGGCTTTGAAAACGCGACAGTAGCGGCGCCTATGGCCAGATACAGCTCGATATATAAATAAACGTATTAGCTCGCTTGCGCGAGGTACCATGTGCTTTCCTACTGTCACTGTGATCTCATTTTTTTTAATACTCTTACTCATAGTTTAGTTAAAAAGGGAAGGAGGAAAACAGGACGCATACTTGTTCGAAAAATAATTTCAAAATATCAAAGAATCATATAAAAAAACAAGAGTCATATTTTATATTTAACAACAATAATTCTTATTGTATGAATATCATATAATACTAATATCGTTACGAAATTACACACTTCGAAGTGAATACACATAATCACGTTCGTTATGATTATAAACTTACTGGCTTAATACAAGTAGGATCCATGTATGTAATATTTTCTGGGAAGTGATCCATGATAACGAACCTTTTCTCACTGGGATTACTTAAGTTGTCTAAGAAACCAAACCAATAAATTACAAGCCCTGGACCAAATCTATTCCAATAGCTCAGAAATTGTTCTTTGATATATTGTTGGTGTACTTCCGAATTTCCAAATCTTGCCTTAGATTCTATCCAATTAATTACAAAACCATTTACTGCTATTGGTACTTCAAGTTTTATGTCTGGAGTTTTGTCATATCCTCTTGACTTTAACTGTTCCTCATTATGGAATGTAAGATTTCGTTCTGTCAAGTAGTTTTGTAATTTTAATTCATATTCCTGACCTACAGAACTAATGTTTTGATTTTTAGAGATATGCAAAATAGGGTACTGTACTTGTTACTTAATAACACGATACATACACTCCAATAGCATCTGATATAGGTCCATATGAATTGTCATATAATATGCACTGTAAGTCAATATTTAGTTATTATAAAATAATTTATTTCTTTACCAAATTATTAATAAATATTTAAATTATTACCAAGTAGACTTCATATGCAAGGTCCTTGTCCTGTATAAGAGTAGTATCTTTGAATAACTTACTAACTTCATTTCGAGAAACTAAAAATACATGAAATATTAAAACTTAGAAATGATATTTTACTGTATTTTAAATCACATATAAGTTACCATTAGGGTCATCTTTTCCACAATGTTTTTCAAGAACATTTCTAGCTAACAGTGCAGGTGTTGCACCAATATCTTTTGCCATTTTTAATAAAATTCCAACAGGTTCCCCATTTTGTACAGCTTCCACATAACTGTTATTGAAATCATTCAGTAATATCTATACATGTTTTGTGTATAAATATATAATGTAGAGTATACTCACGTATCATAATAATTTTTATTATGTCCAAATAATTTGCTATGATTAACTTTCATTTTATGTTGTACTTCTAAGGATAATATACTGTACAGTGTATTCACTGGGATACTAAACAAAACAGAAATTAGTATTCTATTGCAGTAGATAATTAAATTAAATTGTTTTGATAATAATGATCTTACTTGCTGTACTTTTCTTTTAATAAATCTCGACAATCCTTCGATAATCCTTGAAATTTTCGAATTGTTGTCACAATATCGTTGTATAATTCGAGCTTCATTTTGGAATCTTATTTTTAAAACTTCGAATAAATTATTTTAAATTGTATTACGTTTCTTTAATCATAATAGTTTAAAGGTTGTTTATGTTGACACATTACAGATATCAACTATTGATATTTGCCGACAGAAAACTATTTGTACGTATGCACTTTTTACGTCATTTAATTGAAGTTTGCTTCTTGTTCAATTTATGCGGGAAATTTAAATTTATCATCTAAGTTGAAATTGAATTAAACTAATTGCTTTTTTATATTTTGTACAAACATTTCAGAATATGCGTGATTATGATTACGTGAAAAAATTGAAATTACTTTTGGGAGACTGGTAGATGGTGAAAGTGAAATACAGTAAAAAACTGTCAGTGGCTACTTTCAGTTTGTCGAAGAAGGGTTAAAGTAGGATTAGAGAGTTGTGAAGTTTGGCAGTTGTCATTATGTTTTCTATTTTTTTTTGTTATACTCGAAACGTGTAGAATTAATATTAAAAGTTCAAAAATAAGAACATTAAAAATTAAAAATTAAATAATTTTCATTGATTGTATATTGCTTAAAGAATAGCATGAAATAGTATTATTATATGTACGTAAAATATATGACAGCTTTGTTTGTGTTTAACCTGTAAACGTCGTTAATTTGTGCATTAACCTTTCATCTTAATTTTGTAAGAATTATGTATAAAAATAAAAAATCAACGAGAAAATGCAGCGTGCAACGAGAAAATGGTAAAATTGATAATACAGATGAAGGTAATTAATGTAGTTAAGAAAAACACAGAATGAGTGCAATTAAACTTTTGTTGACAAATTTTATGTTATATAGTTCCAGTTAAAAAAAGCATAAAGGTTGATGTAGGAAATGATTCACCCCAACATTCCCGTGATTCGCGTCTTTCTGGACATAGTACACCAATTCAAAAAAGGGATTATGTATATGACATAGAAGATTCTCCTGAATTAGATTATCGTTGCAGTCCAATTTCACTCCCCTGTACCCAGGATGGTGGTAATGAAATTGCCTGGGATTGGCAGGTGCCTGTTAACAAAAGTTCAAAAGATAAATCTAAACCATCAAATGCTAATATTGAAACTCCAAAAAGGACCAAACAACTGCAGAAAAAACGAAATTCTAATTCTCCTTTGTTACAAAAGCCACTTAAAAGGAAGCTGTTAAAAGTGGAAAATATAGAAAATATTGGGAAACTGACAGCAGAATTGAAAGCTTTAAGTGAAAGGATGAAAAGTTTGCAAGAAAACTGTAAAGACCATACTGATGCAAATGAAAGTGACACAAAATGTGAACCCAAAAATAAATTGTTGATAGACATAGATAGCGATAGTAGTGATGATATTATGGTAGAAGTTGTTGCCAATAATAATGATACATCCAAGATTGTTATTAACAGTAATAATAAAAAAGATTCAAAATATGAAGATTTATTTGATGATTCAATTGAGGATTCAATGGTAAAATGCAGTCAAGAGATAGAAAAAAAATTAAATTTGTGTAAAAGTAAAGTAAATGACATCATGGACCTGTCTATAGTGAGTGCGAAAAGAGAATTGTCTTCTATATTTGAGAAGGAGACTAATTACCTGACAACATCTAATACCACTACTGAAACTTCTAAAAGTTTAATTGGCACAAATAGTCATTTGAGAACATATTCAAATAATTCAAGTAAAACAAATTCTGCCTCAAATGTTTCATTGTCAAAGGTTTTCCAAAAGAATATTACAAATGAATCAGATGGAAAGGAAACATTGCAGGAGAGAATTATATCACAAATTCCAGATGATTCTTTCGACGACTGTTTAGCAACTTGTATAGAAGATGATAAATTGTTGTCCAAAGTATCAGAATATGAGTTTAACCGCTTGAATAGCCCTTCAAGTTACAGTCGTAATGCGAATCATTTTCGAAAAACCTCTAAACAAACTGTTCCTAATGTAACTGATAAGAACACATCAAATAGTTATCTTGTAAAACCAGTACCTCATAATAGTGCATTTAGCAATTATCAAAATTCTAAGCTTATTACAGATGAGTTGGTAGATGAAATTGAAATTATAAATGATCAAGAAACAATACGAAACTCTATTCCTGGAAAGAATTCCTTAGAAAAGAGAAAATTCTTTAAAACAAAAAGTTTATCAGATCAATATTTTTATCAAAATAAAAATGCTAGTGTAAATTGTAAAGCAAATCAAGCATCAAATTCCGTTATGCCGACTGAGAAACGATTTCAATCAAATTCCGTTAATTCATCAGTAAGTACTACATTTTCCAATGTAAGGGGTCAGAATCCAAATAAAAATAATAATTTTTCATCGATTAATGGCATGGAAAATGCGCGTACGCTCGACAGATTAGAAGAAAACGAAGCTGGAAATTGTATTGTTAAATACAAATCTACTAGTAATTTGTCTAGTACAAAGGAAATTTCAAAAGAATCTCAGTCTGTACAGTGTACACCTGCAGAAATAGAGAGGAAGCGATTAGAGGCGAAGATGAAGCTAGAAGCAAAACGAAAATTGAAGCTAGAAGCAAAACGAAAATTGAAGAAAACAAACAGTAATACAGCTAATACTTCATCAAATGTCCCAATAACGAAGTCTGTAAAAAGGTGATGAACTAATACTTTTCAATAAGTTGAGTTAACGATATTACCTTTTACAGTACTACGTGGTTTTGTATACAACTGCTAATGTGCCTATTCTTCCTACCTCTGTGATTTCAACAGTGTTAGAAACGCTGTGATTACTCAGTAGAAAAGTATTTTTTAATACAATATAAAGATTTAAATTTTAAATACTCCGTGAAATCATGATAATAGTTCTTAAACGAACCTCGAAGAAGTTAGTATTCATCTTCCAGAATATGTAGTTTGTGAATCGTAATTGCTTCGTGAAAGTGTTATGTTGATTTCTAAATATATTTATTTGATTGTAATACGTATTATAATATGTACCAATTTTGTGCATTAAAAAATAAACGTTTAAGATACGAAAATAAATACCGAACTATTGTAGTAAACTGTTTTGTAAAAATGTTTCGCTTAATTTTTTCAAACTTTAATATTTTTCATGCTGCTAACATTTTCAACACTAGACGGTGCATCATCTCGCGCGGTATAATTTCCCTGTCCGACATAGTCGAGTATATACTACTGCAAGTGAGCGCTCATTTAGGGGCCTCTCTTTATCTTTACCAATAAATTTTCCAACATCTCAAGAGTTCTGTATTTAAATCATACACAACTAACATTCTTCTAGATCCAAAAATCACGAAGTTATTCCATTAAACTACTATTCTTACAAAGAAAATTCAACAATGTCCGACTATACTCGTACTGAAACTACTTAAATGTAACGCAGGGAACTATCTATATGAAAAAAGACTATCTTCAGCTCATCTATCAAGAATCCCAAAGTAAATATCCATAACAAATTACCGCCAACAACACAACCAGTTTCAATAAAATCTATCATAAATTAAAAAGGTTATGTCTGATCTCGAGAACATCAAGGAGCAGACAACTCATTGCGCATGCCATGAACGTATTGCACGAACGCGCCGTTCAATCGATACATCACGTGACGTCAGCCCTTAGCGCACAATGACGCCGTTGTTTCGCGCACGTTGAAAGAAACGCGTGAATTTACAATTAACATTTCTCTCGAAACACGCGCAAATTCTCGCATGTCATACGCTTATCAATCCAAACAAGTACTGTTACATTCATTTCCTACGGGTTCAACAATCGTGCCTATGGTTGACGGCAAGCAGTGCGCATGCGTAACGATCCTACACCGTAATTACCGTACACTCTTCTCTCCTATTGGTCGAGAGGCACGATCGAGAAAACGATAACGAACCAGTCGGCTAACGGCGTGCATGGGGAGAGCACGTGTCGTTCATATTGTTGCGCGCGATTCGTCGAGCTTATACGTCGACTCCTGCGATCTTACCACCACCACCATCAGCGACATTTTCAGTAGCAGTGAGATAGACGTTACTGGGAACGCCGCCAGCGTCGCTAGTACCACCGTGGAGGAAAAACTATCGGCTTCCCCTCCCGTGGAGGCGGTTCACGGCACGAAAATCGCAGTACCCTCGCGTACACCGAGTACAGTGTCCGCGAATGCGAGATACATCAGCGTACGCCGCCGGCCTGTCACGATGCTGCTTGCGGTGATCGCGCTACTCTGCGCCGGCAGCACTGCCGAGGTCTTCACCAACACGTTTCTCGTGAAGATGAGGGAGCCTGCGGAAAGACATATCGCGGATCGCGTGGCTGCTAGAAATGGATTCGTCAATCTTGGACCGGTGAGTATATATATATACGTACACATGTAACGAGAAGTTTATTTTTTTCACCTTCTTCTTCTTCTCGCGAATAACGCAGAGAAGTTTTATTTCGAATAAGAAACTATACGAAAGTGTTTAACAAGTTTCGTACGGACTACTTTTGCGATAGTGTTAAGGGTGACACAGCACGGGTTCCTGACACTGACATACATATATCGCGGCACATACACGATACCACCGCGCCAAGATAATTGCTTATCTGGGGTGAAACAGAGTGTGGCTTTAGGGCGCGGATGGGGTGAACATGCTAGGATGAGAATGAAATCTCTCTTGAACGATCGATAAGTTTGCTCGAGAGAGAAAAAAAGAAGAAAGATACTTGTGGGAAACTTGGCTGTTTATGCGCTGTATCCCTTGGGTCCGACTTTAGCCTGCTTTCGCTACTAAACGTAAAGCGTGCTCTTTGAACCGAGGAAACTTAAAACAAAATACATAAAAAATCACGAAGCACTCACGATAACGGGGGAAAAAATTGGTCAATTGTAACAATCTAAACTTATCTCGTTATCGAGTCTGCCTGTAGAATTGTAGATGAATCATCTGTACATTGGCGAAATGAAAAAGAACCTCCCCCTGAATGATACCGCGCGTACTGATAAATCACGGAATCCCCCGTTCGTTTCTCCGATGGTTAAACATTGTTCGCTTAATCGTCGGAAAATCTGTGCCAAGCCCGATTTATCCTTGCCCCACTTCACCGTTGATATCTATCAAAACGCGAGGTTGTTATCAGTTGGCCGCATAAACGGGCCCGATATTCACCGCGGGCTACGTTAGATCACGCCGGAGGCATTGATTTCGCGGCCGTTGTCACGAACACCCGCATTATCGCGGAAACGTGTTCGAAGCAGTTGGTCGACGTCATAAATACATCGGGATACGTGTTAAACGATAAGATTAACAGCGCCTGGATCGACCTGGTTACTCCACTTAAAGCTTCCTTTTAAGAACGCGCCATTTCACATCTCTCCTTCCTATGCAATTTTTAACGGGAGAAAAGGAGACTGAAGTATTTCACAATGCTCACATTGTCCCTCGTTCATATGTGAATGGTACGTGTAACGTTTGGACGACGCGGCGGCTCGGTTTCTAATAATTCCCTGTGGTCGAAGTGGAAAGATCGGTTAATAGTCAGACGGCGCGACAGTAGAAAAGACTCGGTTCGGTCAGACGTGGCCCAGCCTCTTCCCTCGCCTATTTTCCCTTCGGTGCACGATACACAGAGTGTCGTTGCATTCACGGAAACGACTAACGCGACCTTTTCTTCGGCGAAAGAATTATTCATGGAACAGAAGAACTGCGAGATAGAGAGAGTAAACGTGTTTAGTAGTTTCATTTAGTTACGTGCAGCGTGAAACGTGTAGAGGATAAAATATACGTTTGCCGGGCGAACTTTTCTCATTTCCTTCGCCACTGCCGGCAACCCTTTCATCCTTCCCCTTCCTGGAAAACGAATTTCATTATTGTTCGTTAAGCGATTCTTCTGGTCGCCACGACGAAAGGAGAGAACCGCGTGTATTTCACTTTAATCCGAAGCACACGTATCTTTGTAGATTAAACAATGATCTCGTGGATTGTAACGTGCATTTAGGGTGTACGGTTAAAAACAGGGAAGAAGAAAAGCGGAGGTGCAGTCGACGATAAGGAAGAATCGCGATAAATTTCCGTAAATTTCCGTCGAGGAACGACGAAGGTATTTCTGTGACATGGAGAGGAACGTTTGTTTCCGACATTTCGAAATTTCATTAAAAACGAGACGAAAGGCGTGGAGGGAAGACAGTCGAGTATACGTTTAGAAATTTTCGTTCGTTGTTGCGAAACGCTACTCGAGAGGGTGCAAGAAGTTCCACTCGAAGGAGGGAGGATGGTCGTCGGCGAAATTGCGTTAGCCGTTGCCTTTTATTAGGTTCACTGGACGAAACATCTTGACCCTTTTCAGAGCTTCTTCCTCTTCTTCTTCTTCTTCGTTCTCTTAACGGTTCGCCGATAATTGTGCTCCAGTTTGTAACCCTGTAACATATCGACCATGTTCCACCATTCAGACTAATCCTCTTTTATTCTCGTCCCTTAAAGACTAACGAACATTGTCCCTTTTAACGAGCCGCAGAGTAGTTTCGAGACGGTTCTTTAGGTACGTGCAGCGCAGCTGACTGCATTGCAGCGTATTTTACATCGACGGTAATCGAGGGACGCTTAAACTTCCACCCCTGTTCCTTCTTTTTTCTTCTTTCAACTTGCTCGCTGCCTCGACCAGGCACGAGGAGACTTTACGCGAGAAATTTACTTCAAAATTGGCTTTGCCTCGAACACATCCCTTTTCTCTTACGGACACGCGCGTGTGTGTGTGTAATGAAAAAAACTGGAGAACGTTGGCAAAAGTGTGAAATAAATTTTAAATCATATTTTCTCCTCTGTTAATTTCACACACGTTTTCACATTTTCACTCCGCATTATCAGATTCGTCTGTCGCCACTGCCTACGCAACGACCAAGCGTATTCCAATAACAACAATGCCCGAACGCTTCATTACAAGTTCGTCAAGGGTTCCCCTGTTCGTAGGATAAATCTGAGCCTCTTTTCACCAGGTTAATCTTCCGAAAGCGTAATCACACCCTCGAGAAATGTTACTCGACCCTCTGCGAAACAATAGGTAAATGGTATAACTCAGCGAGACCGACTTCCGACGGTTTCGAAAGTCGCGCGAATGGGAGCTCTGTTTCAAGATCACCACGGAGGGTTGTAAAATTAATCGAGTGGAAGGGTGGAGGAATGAGAGAGGAGAGTGGAAGGATATCTCGTGGTTTCGTTGACGATTTCTTCAGAGAGACGCGGGAGAGACGCGCCATTCAGCGAATCGATTTCTTCGTGAACGCCATATTTACAGAGGTCTGTGACGTTGTTTTATCTGATCGCCGGGTTTCCTAACCGTCTGACGCGATTAGTCAGAGTGTGACGTACGCGTTGGATTACCAACGGTGATCGAGAACTGCGATCCCCGGTAACGATGGATTTTTTTTCATCGTCTAAACGACGAATAAAAGGCGAGAGGATCTCGCGTCACACGGTTGATGGATCGTTTGCTCAACGCTTCGTGATAGTTCCAATCGAGAGGAATTTTTACGGTGAAGGTAATTTCTGAAAGAACGTGAACGATCCAACGCGAATCGAACGAAAAGAGAGAGAGAGAAGCAAAATAGTCTGTCTGCGAATGATAAAAAGATTAGCCCAGAGAAGCCAGGTGGAATAATCATGTTAAATAGGTCGATCGATTGGAATGTTGCGGTGACGCTGGGGTAACCTTTCGATTCAGCGAAACTTGAACCAGTTCAGGGTGAAAATTCTGTGTTACCTCTTTCTCTTCTTCTTTATATTTCTCGTGGAAGTTCGAAGTAAAGAGAAGGAGCGAAGAAGATGTACGTATTAAAAAGTTTCGTGTACGACACGGTCCACAAACTCTGATAACGTAAATACGTTCTGAACAGGGGATAAACTTCGTTCGAGATACTTTCGCCAACTAATTATTCCCCCCTTTATGCACGTAGGACGCAGGTTGAACAAGTTGGAGCAAATAACGTGTCTCTTTATTAATTAGCCAGCGTTTTCAGCACGAGTTACCCATCTGGATGTTCTTAAACGTTCTCCACAGTGTTCTCCGATGATTAATGGAAAGAACGAACCAAGTCTGCGGAGTTTTCTGTACAATTTATTCTGAAAAGCGTGGAACGTTTCACACGTTGTCCGTGACTACGTCCCGCGTGTAACGACGTAATAGCTGTGTTGTGCAGCACCTCGATTTATTTGAATCTCCCACGCAGCTCGTATGTAAATTTTCGTCTGTCAACGGGGAATATCGTAACAGGGGATTCGCGAATGAAAATCTGCCTTGGACACGAGCGACGCGTTCCGTATACGCCCGGTACAATTATCTTTCAGCCGTGGTAATAACTGTTTTTAGCGGGGCTCGTTTCACTAATTAAATTGCTTCACGCGCGTTTGAACCGTTTCGTCGGAAGCATCGGGAATAAAGTTACGCGGAAAGTAACGACCGGTAGTACCTCGCATCACGGGCCACTCCGGAAATCAAGGTGGGTAGCGAGGGAAGGAAGGAAGGGAACTTTAACGAGCTAACGAAACTTATGCGCCAGTTAATTCATCGAAATATTACGATGGGATGTATTATCGTGGAAGGGTAGGTCCCTACCGAGAGCTTATTTCGTTACTTCACGCTGTAAAGGATTATTAAATTCTGCAGGAGAATGGAAATATTTATTTTAGAATTTCAGAATTTTTGTATCGGTGGATTTTTTTATTTGTTTTAAGTTTCATTGTATTCTTTGAGAATTGGTATAATTAGGTGAGTGTTGTGTAGGTGGAAATATTTTGTGTAGGTATGTAAAAGAATATTTAGAAAATAGAAGGGTTATTGGTAAGGGCTTGCTAGTGCAGCGTTAGAACTCGTGACTGCCAATCTGTCGGCCAGGGTTCGATTCCCCGATAAATTAGTCCTGTATTTTTCTTTGGAAATTTTTAATTAATAATTTCCGTCTTTTCATTGGGATCTTCTGTGTCGCATTCCAATCAAGAATTTCACATTCTATCATCGAAAAAAAAAAAAATTAGAACACTTCTCTTCATTCGTAAAATAAAAATTGTGCAAAGAGAATTTCATCCTTCCTCCAACAGTACAAATTTGAATAGAATTGCAATGTGCATTCCTCGTGTGTAATTAAAAAATTGATCATGGAGATTGAACATAATTTCTACTTAACTTTCAATTGTGTTCCAAAGAAGTGCCAATTTCGCGAACTGGTATTTGAAACTAAAAACTGGAAAATGGGGTTGTATATGTGATTCCTCCCGTAAGTTTCGTGGAAGGGTTGCATTTCGTAGGTAGCAGTATCGTTCGTATGCATCTCGTAATGTCGCAGAGGGGTGTGTTTATTAAGATTCCACGATTATGTGCAGATTTTCTTCTGGGTTCACTTCTCTCTGCTCCCCAGCTATGCGTGCGGAAAAGGAGGAGAGGGCGTTGTCTGCATCGTTGGTTTATTTGCGTAACTTATAGTGATGGTACACCAGAAATTTTACGTAACTTCAGCCCTACTTGCTAAGTTCTATGTTAACTGTTCAATGAAATATTTCTCGGTGAACGCAATTGTGTTGTTCGCGATTGAAAAGGTTGAAGGAAGAGACAAAAAAGGTACATTGTACGTGTATTATCTGTTAGTTCTAGAAGTATGCAGACAGAGTTTATGTATCGCAACGAAGCAGAGAAATCAATTTTCCACCCCTCTGTTTTCTGTAATAGAATCAAGTCTGACGAAGTTTTGCCGGTGCTTTCAATTTTTTCCTCTCTCCTATTTAACGCGGACAACGTTGCATAAAAGGTTTTTCCCGATAAACCACGAGGGAGAATCAAAGCGACCGAAGTTGCATGTTTTTTGCTCGCGCGATGACCGCACTTGGCGCTTTGAATACGTCAGCTCGATAAATTGCATCTACATGCGATAGCACGGAAGGGAAGGACAATAAACCTGCGCATTCGTGTTTACCCGATGGACACACACGGCGTAATATCGTGTTCGGTGTTACGCACTTGGTGCACGCTTGTTAATTGGATTACGCGACACGTGTAGCCCAAGTCAAACTCGATCCGAAGGGATGGCTAGTCCGGTGGATAGAGAGCTATGTGTGTGTGAGCACATTTCACAGTCAAAACAATTCCTCGTGAATGAAAAAGCAGATTTCTTTCGTGTTTTTTTCTACGAATTAATCGTGGATGGCCTTTCACAAGAGGAGATTCGTTTAAAAGAATTCACAGATGTGTGCGTGTGCGTGTACATCGAGAGGATATTGTTTCTCTATTTACATTTAGATCGCTTGTAACGAAGGAGAATTAATGAAACGGTTAATCGACCAGTTGGATTCGCTGACCTAAATAAATTTCAACCGGGGGATTGATTAAACAGTACTCTATTAAACAGAAATGTTGGATGATTAAATAACGAGGACACTGTTGACGATCAAATCCGCGATATATTCCCAATATCTGCTTCGCCGTTAAGGACGAACCTCGCTAGTGTGTCACGCGTTATATCTCGCTCGTAAAAAGTCTCATCTACGCTTGGAAGTTCAAAGATGTTTTTCCGTCACCGTGACATTTTTAGCTGTTGTTTGAGACTGTTAAACATCAACGTTGATCTTGTATCGATGGCCTTCGGACGAGAAGTGGATAATTCCCGGGTATTAATCTCGTCGGAGGTAAAGTGAATTCTCCAGGAATTCTCATCGAGGAGAATGACTTTGAGGCAAAGAGATGTAAAAAAGTATAGAACATAAAGGGATGAAGTTACCTTGAAGAGGATTCTCGAGTTTGATAGATAAGCTTTAGTGGAAGGTTTCCTTGCGAGTTCAATCTTCTTTCATATCCGTGACCGCGGCTTGTATCGAGAGGATACGGTTTTACGGTGTTTAGAGAAAAGAGGAGCGTCTCAGCGTCGAAATGAGAAAATTCTTTATCAGCTGTAACGCTGATGGTCGATGTGTATTTTACGTCTCGTATATTGGAATTTACGGAGAAACCACGATTTCTAAAACGATTTGCTTCGCGATATTGCCGGCCTCGTTAACTTTGTTTGCTTCGGATGACGCTTGACTTGTGCCACTTTTTGCTTTTAACCCTTCGTCGTTTATCTTTCCAGGAGTTCTATAGTAGCATGGAATATCGATTCTCTCGAATCTCTTTCGCAGAGATTAGCGTTTCGATGTTGCGAATAAGGAGAGTTGAAAAAATGTTATTATTACAGTTGTAACGCGGCATCGATCGTGCTATAGCTATTTTCGAGGCGACGTCGAGGCAACCGTGAGGCGATACACGCGTGAAAATTCAATATGGATTAACGAGAATAGGCAGCCTCCTTTTTATTCCGGAAGAAAGACTGTCGAACCGTATTAGACGATCGATCAGCCATTCTAGCCGCTTCTCTCCCTCCCTCTATTGCGTTTCCTTTAATTTGGGGGAGAAGAAAAGGTTCCGCTTCTATTTTAGTCTTTCAGAGAAACGGAAAATGGGCGAACGTTAACGTTGATACTTCTCGAAGGAGATGCTTTGATATCAATTCGCGGAGATTATAGGGTGAATAAATAAATAAATGATTTAGAATCTGTATTTTTAATTGTTTTTTGTGTAATGATAGAATTTGCGACGGTAGGACAACTGTTATGCAACTCTAAGGACTCTGAGACAACTTAGAGAACAGTTGAACGACTTGTGCAACGCTCTCTGCAAGACTCGATCTAAAACACTTCATCTCTAACACTCTGTCGATGCTTACAACGCTTCTGCTCTATTTGCAACACTCTGGAGACTCTTACAACACTCTGACGACTCTATCCAGAACACTTCGACAATGTCTACAACATTATGACTCTATCTACAACATTATGACTCTATCTGCAACATTCTGACTCTGTCTGCAACACTCTGACTCTGTCTGCAACACTTTGACTCTATCCACAAGACTTCAACTCTATCCACAACGCTCTATCGACGCTATCTACAACATTTTGACTCTATCTACAGCACTCTGACTCCATCAACAACTCTCTGACTCTATCTGCCAAGAAAAGCTCTTCCTTCGCCTTCTTCTCTCACCTTACACAGTGGATCTCCTGAAACTACGATACCACAATTAGTATCTTACTTTTCAATTGCGCTAAGGAGCCATTAATGTCTCCCACACATGAAAATAAGACTTAACGGCACACAGAAAGCAAGTGGTAAAGAGTTGCAAAGCACTTACGATTCTTTTACAGCTCATCCTTCGACCTTTAGCGATCGTTTTGCAGAAAATTGCATCGGTTCTCCGTTCCCAGTCGGGTTCTCTATTCGTAGTTAAATAGCATTGAAAAAGTAGCGTGTATCGGGAATGGGATTTAGAACGGGAGGCGAAGTGCGATCGCGGTACTGGAATTCCAATAACCTAATGAGATTTCTTGTCGCGCGGTCACTAGCAAGCCAATCCCGATGTCACCGTGCACGTGCTACTTCATCTTTCTTACTTTGTTTTTTCTTCCCTCCTCGGCTGAAAGTTCCGAAGTTTGATACGACCGTTCCCTTTTACAACGAGGAAACGCTGTCGTGGCTCGAACTATCGGAAAAACAATCAAGTTACACGGATATACATATAGACGAAGGCACACCGAACCGAAGTAGAGATTAAAATCTTTGTTATTCTAAAGAACCTGCTCGCTGGATTTGAATGCGAGCAGCAGGTATTTTCCTCCGTACATTCTCCCATCGTGTTGCAGCGGAATTTGCCGGAATGTGTGCTATTCCTTGCCGGTTGAAGAGCTTCAACTCTTCTGTTCTTCGCCTCGTTCGAAACGAAATTTCTTAGTTTGCAAACAGAAAATTATCTCTCTCACTATCCCGTCACTTCTCCTCACTTTCCATCCGCCGCAGAACAGACAAATTGATGGCTGACCGGGGTAAATAACGCGTGCGCGTGTTTAATCTACCATCGGCCCGATCGATTTTCTATCACTAGTAGAACTTATTAATCGGATAACAGTCTACACCATAATCGAGGTAACTTTATCTATCCGTAATTGGCTCGATTGGATCGACCAAATGTTACCCATCCAACCTATCTATAATTCACTTCCACGTACCTCGATCGAGGTGTGTCATTTATCTAAGTGTATCAGAAATTCCAGAGAATTTCGAACCTTTCGAAGAATTTTCTTCTCTACTCGATGCTTACCAAGAAGTGATTAGAAAAATTGTGTCTCTCTGGAATCTTCTTTTCTCAGAAGATGATCGAAAGAGGAATAGTTCGCCTCGCTCTTTCTTACACTTTGTCAACTTTCTGATTTTTCGAAGAGAAAATCGTTTTCTCGTCTGATTTAAACGACGTGTAAGCGAATGAAAATTTTATTCCATCGGTACAGTGGAATTTTCTTGAATTATGGATGCCGTCGAATAACACGCCACTGCATATAAATTGTTTTTCCCTGTGTGTTTAGGTATTGGGCAGCCAAACGGAATACCATTTCGTGCACAGGGCTTTGCCACACGCGCGGAGCAAGAGGTCCGTGCCGCATATGAGAAAATTGAAAGTGGATCCTTTGGTAAGTGATATTCCCAATTTTCTCTAGTTTCGTCGAATTTTATTCCATCCACCATTCGTGGAATATCGTATATTTCGAATTTCGTCGATAGAGAAGTGTCACGGCGAAATTGTATCTAGAAAAAATTAATCTCATTCGAAGAAGTAAATAAATAGTTTTTAAGGATTGTCGGAGAATTAGAGAGTAAAATTGAGAGGAATCGTTCGATCGTAGGAGGTTGCGTGAGAATGGATTCAGAAGCTTGCCGATCTAAATGTAAATGAATACGCAATTTCCAGCAGTGCCGGGGATTCGTCATCGATATTCTGTTTCTCCCTTTTTTCTCTTTGTGTTGTTGTAAATTTTTATCGTGTAAAGCGTTTCATTTGATTGCTGAGAGTGGTTAGGTGTTCTAATCATTCGCTATTAACCCTTTGCGCTCGAGTGGCGACTGAGAAGCAACATTATTATCTACGACTTGATAAAAACTTGATTTTACTGGACAATAGGTCCATGGGACTCTCGTAAATGTCTAAGCAGCAAAAGAAGCAATCTTTAACGAACTGTTGCAAGGTCTCGTATAATACAAAGATACGTTAAATATAGAGATGAATCTGATTTGCAATCATTTTTCACGGGACATCGTGATTCGTGGTTTAATTATTCGACGAATCTAGAGAAGGACAAATTGCTCGGATTTTCACGTTTGTGAAAAACGTTTGAAGCAACGGAGGATTTGGTGTGAATGTTCCAGGTGCATACTGCCGTGCAGCAGCCTGGATTCAAGAGGGTGAAGAGAGGCTATAAACCGCTGAGCGTGGATAATCTGGTGCCCCTTTACCAAATTAAAAACCCAGCGAATCCTGGTAACAAAGACCCTTCTGATCCTTACTTCCAGTATCAATGGTATCTGAAAAACACTGGTCAAAACGGCGGAAAGCCGAAATTGGACTTGAACGTGAAGGCAGCCTGGGCTCAAGGTGTTACTGGCAAGAACGTCACCACTGCTATAATGGACGATGGTGAGTTTCGTTTAAAGGTTGAAATCTTCTCAATTTGTCACATTTCTGCCTCGCGAGGAAAATGTTGAATATCGAAAACTAAGATCTTTCCAATTTTTCAATTTTTCACATTTCACCCTCGCGAGAAAAGTGTTAAAAATCGAAAACTTGAAATTGGTGAAACAATTTTTGATATCAAAATCCTTGGAAAAAAGTGTGAAAAATCGAAAACATGGAATTGTCGAAATTTCAATTTGAACTGTATTGAAATCTTTTCAAATAAAATACCAAGATCTTCCCAATGTTTCTCTAAAATTGTCACAAGCTGAAAGTACAAAATTTTCAAGGATAGAAAGAAAGTTTCTCCGCAGAAAATTACTTAATTACAGAACTACCAAAACTATCAGAGATCAACCTCCGGCATTTCTTTCGATGGTAAATCCACTTGTTAAAAGATACGCTTGGCAAGTAAAACGAAAATTGAAGATTCGATCACTCGCGGACACTTTTCCCCTTGGCGGTGAGATATGTGAATGGAGGAAAGTTTCAATTTCGTAGAATTCGATAATCGTTGTTTTATGGTCACAGGATATATTCCGCGTTACGTCGTTAACGGACCGTTTCAGACGATTTAACGCGAGTAATTTCACCGGCGGCATCTCGAGATTTCATTAACAGAGAGTGGATTAGCTTAGATTACGTGGCACATGAACGTTAGATTTTTGAGGTCGCCGGCTATAATTGCGCGCCGATTAGATAATTAATTACGGATATTGCCGCTACGTAATTTCATCATTTATCGCCGTTACTACGAACGTCGTGGATAATCTTCGGTAAATACGATCTCTCCGTTTTCACAACGGTTCAATCAACGTTTCTTTCCCTCGACTTTTCTCCGTTCAATTTCCAATCTGTATCCTGAGCCTCTCGCGTTGATTGAACCGTTGCACGCGGTGTATCGCCAGTTTTTTCATCGAGAGTTTCGGTCGAGTATCTATGCTCGCCAATCTCTACTGGATCGAAACGAACGTGATTAGTTCATCTCGACGGAGTTACACGTTGACAACTAACCGCTGATCCTATCAACGGACGACGTTCCTCCTACCGATATACATACATATTGGACGATTGCGAAAGTTCGCGTCCGATTTGAACCTGAAACACGAACGGTGTGTGAAAAGGCGCATTTCGTTTGAAAGTAAAATGAAACGATATTGTGGAATTAGAAATACAAACAGATGTTTATTAACAAAATATATGAATAACTATAATACATATAGCCTCCATAGACAAAAATAGGAGACCGGCACGGGAGAATGGAGAGGGAGTGGTTGGCGTAGCGCGCAAAGCCGAAGGTCCCAGGTTCGATTCCCGTTGGGTCCCTCGATATTCTTCCCTAGGTTCCTACAAATGGGTGCTCAGCCGGGATGGAGGCATCTACGGTTGCACCGAAGCCAGGCGCTGTGAGATGAAAGCATGTGACGAGAGGGTTTGCACGTCTCCCAAAAAGAGATGAGAAACGGAGTTTCAGCTGAGAGTGCCACTGTGTGGGGGAGAGTATGCCCGAAAGTGTTGAGTTGTGTTGCACTGAGGACATTCGAGAGCGAATGTTAGTTCAGGATGGCCGAGTGTAGTATCGGGGCCTCCATACTCAAAAATAAGAGACCGGTACGGGAGAATGGAGAGGGAGTGGTTGGTATAGCGCGCAAAGCCCCCTCGGCTTGGTAAGCCGAAAGTCTCGGGTTCGATTCTCGTGTTTTGGGTCCCTCAATATTTTTCCGTCGTCGGTTCTTACATATGTGACTTTGTCTCACGCTTCTTCTACCCACGTCTCTCGCCGTCTTTCCATCTCTCGCACGCCATACTTTATAGCTTCGTGGGTCTTTCGTCTTTGGTTTCTCTTTTATTTTCGACGCTGTTTTCTTAAAACTGCGCTTTCCTAAAATTACGATACTACAGTATGAACAATTATCTGAAAATAAAACACAAACGGTGTATCTCTCGATAGAAATGTAACGTGACGTTAAAAAACACATCTGTGCCGAAGTGTGATAAGTAGACTGCGGACTTTGATGCATTTGTAGGGAATTTTAAGGTACAAAATTGCACACAATGCACGTAATACGTAAAAATATACAAAATACCTAAATTGAAATAATTTTTTTACCAAAGTTCTACTTTCTTTGCTGTATTCCTAAAAATCCGCAGTCTAGCGATAAGGTTTCCGCCACCTCTGAAAATCGGACACGAACTTTTGCAATTCCACGAAATTCCACGAAAATTCTTCAACATTGAAAATCGACCGAGTGCTCGACGCAGCATTCGACGAATAATTATTTTCGATGTCGATGGAATAACACGTATCGCGAACGTTCGTTTTACAATAACTCTGCTATGTTCCTCTGGTAAACGTTTAACGAGGAATCTTTCCATCTGCAATATTTTCTCTTTTCCAATTTTCCTTTTATCGCTGTTGCACCGGAATCGAGGTTGAAACTGCTCGTTAAATTGAAACTACATATATCTACATAAATAAAAAAACATTCTTACGTATGTTTATCCGATAAAATGTCGTTATTCGTGAAATTTGCCAGGACATTACGCAGTTTCACCGTTAAATGTAACACTGTTCCAACGTTATTTCTGCCGTGGAACGGTGATTGCTACGTTTCGAACAATGCCAAGGCAGTGCTTACGAAACCGCGACTAAGTTTCAGAAATTTCCAGTTCCTGCAAACAGGAATCGATAGTTCCCCAGGGGTTGGAGATGTATAACAACCGGTAGTCGTTCTCCACTCTCTGGTAAACTGTAATCTTGAGTATCTAGAGGTATACAGTTTGGTAAGTATCGTGGCTTACCTGTGGTATCATCGATCTCATTTAGACTCGACTGGAGAACAGTCATCTTTCGGTAAATATTGGGGTAATACACCCTCTCTCTGTTCGTTGACGTCGTCGATCCAGGAATATTAGGAATTTAAGGTCAGGAGGAAGTTGTGGATCCCCTTGGACAAACAAATTGTTCAATCATTTAGAAGACTTTGATAGCCTTAGGTTAGTTTCTTGGGTGTATGTGTTGGGAATTAGTAATTTGTTAATTTGGGGAATTGGAAGGTTCAGAGTTTTAGATTAAGGTTGTGAAAGTTGGAATAGGAGGGGTAGTTTAGCAGTTTGGATTATTTCGAATGTGAATTCTTTATTTGGGTAATTGGAATTTATAATGTTTCAATTGTCCGAATTATTTGGAGAAGTGGAATATCAGTGGAATTTGGATTGCAATTTTGAATCGGTGAATTATTCGGATAATTCGAGTATTTGGAGTGTTTGGATTTTGGATTGTGCCGAATATTTGTAAATTTCGATTATTCGAAGCGTTCGAATTTCGGATTGTGCCGAATATTTGAAAATTTCGAATATTCTAATACACTGAATATTTGGAGCGTTCGAATTTCAAATTGTGCCGAATATTTGTAAATTTCGAATATTCTAATGCACCGAATATTGGGAGTTGCAAAAATTTTCTTTTTCACAATGAAAATGGCTGTCTCAAAAATTTTCTTCCTTTTCTTCAAATCAGAGTTACTAAATCAGTGTTATTTATTTCTCATCAATTTTACTACAACCACAGATCACCAATAACAAAGAAAAACTTCGTTCAATAGAAACAGAAATACATTCACAGATACTATATTTCCCTCCGATTTACAAACTTCAGATTATTAGTTCTAATTTCATTCCGCAGCAAGCAAAGATTAATCCCAGAGAGAAACTTCAGTTATTAGAGTTTCTCGGGATCTCGAATGGTCCTTCGTAGAATGCTTCCGTTCCCCGTTCCCCACCAGATCGTAATCACCGTACTGACTTACTTACGTACGTAAATCCATCGTCGTCACACCAACTTCCTTTATTCTCATCTGTTCCAGGTGTCGACTATATGCATCTGGACCTGAAGGATAACTACGTAAGTACACAATAAAAGAAACAAAATAGCATATTAACCCTTTGCAGTCCTATGCCGAGTCAGACTCGCCGCAAGAATTTTTCCCTTTAGATATCATATAATATGCATTAATATTATTCTGAAACTTAGTATTTTACAACGAACATTACGCTGAAATATTGAAATAAAGGGAGCCATTCTTTTAGGATATACCGAAACTTAGTATTTTACAACTAATATTACGCTGAAAAATTGAAATAAAGGGAGACTACATGGTACTGCCCGAGAGTGCCCAAATGAGTGACTCTAACTGGACTATTTGGACCGCAAAGGGTTATCCCTATTTGTCACAAAAATCCAACTTCCTTTCGACGCGTTACATTTCACTCGAAAAACACTTTAACTGATTCGTATTCAAATCGAATCTCTACGATCGTCCATATCGCCACGATAATGCGTCTGAAACACTTCCACTTCCGCTCCCCTCTCTGTGTCCTCGCTGTCCACTTGCACACCCGTCAGAGGGTCGCTGATGCATTAAACGTTAACGAAATGGAAGTGTAGAGCCGTGGTTTCCGTCCAACCCGGGAGAAATAAAAGGTGAAGAATCATCGGAGAAAACGGTTTGAATAATGCAATCAAGCGTCGGACACGTTCGAGATTTCACCCGGTTAATATTTAAAAATCGCCGCGATGGAAAATAGGATTTTTCGAGGGGTGAAAGAAAATAGCCGGGGGAGACGATTTGTTCTACATGGGTTGATGGAATGTCCTCCGGGAGAAAAGGGACACGGGTCCGTTCGATTCGAATCACGTATTATATCTTGGAGAAGCTCCTCAGGATCCACTCTACGTCCAGTGGCGGGAAAAGAAGTCGAAGAGCATCGAGCACGCGACATGGGGAACGGTGACGTGCGTGGAATAATGGAAACGCGTGAGAACTTTGGAAAATTCAGCCGCCTTCGGTGAAGAGGATGGAATAATACTTTAGAGAAAAACGTCGAATGATGCTTTTTTCTTCTCTTCGCGACGATGCACGTTCGACCTATTTTTTCACGCTCGAGCATCATTGAAACGAAAATAGTCGACGTTCGCGGGGTAAGAAACGTGGAAAAAATATCGCCGCTTTCTCACGCGAAAGTGAGTAACGGAGGGAAGTTTTCGCGACGTTTTTCGCGAAGGCAGAGGAAACAATGCGACCTCCGGTGACAATAAGGGGAGAGAAAGTTGGAGAACCAAGGAGAGGAGAAGTTTTCACGGACTAATTACGATTCGTAGATTCGTAAAAAGAAGAATTCTGCGGGTGAGGGAAATTCCGGGTGACAGAAAGGCTGACGAATTCGGGACTGACCAATATGGCAGATTCTAGAGTTCTTTTTCTCGCCACGAAAAATTGAACGACGGGGAAACGAGGGAGAGATAGGGAGGAGAAGGATGAATGGCGGTTTTCGAGAAGACGAAGATTAATAGTCGCTCGGACGTTGTCTGTGGGTACGAAGAATTTATGGTGGGCGAAATTAATAGAGCTGAATCTTCCTCGCTGTGCGTAAACTGCGCTGTTAGATCCTGCGTTCGATCGATTTATTTTGCTGAAAAGTTTAGTAGTTTCGGAGCTAAGTGCACTTAGAAATGATGAATTTCAGTAGAATAAGTCGTGATTTATTTTATACTGAAATGTTCAAAACTCAAGAGAAACAAGAATTTACTATAAATTTTTAAATAACTTTTACGCAATGTCAGGTTGCGGACAGATTTTCTTCACAGAAAGTTAGAAACAATAGCGATTATATTTCGACGCTAACAGAAACTTATTATTCTTTTTATATGGCCTTCTTCTTCTGTCAGAACAGGACACTTTTATTTTTAATTACGTTTAGAAGTTCGAATTTTATTTAGATTTTTAAATAAAAAGCTCCACTGAAACTTGACTCAAGAAGTCTCCCAGTTACTTCAGTTAGCGTCGTATAAATTTGTATTCTTATCAAATAGAAAAATACACCGTGCAACTTTCATCTCGCTTTGAAAAATCTACAGAGCACTCCTTTAACGAAAGAAAACCGCCGCCAGTCTTGTCTCCCCAAGGTGCACGCCAATTCGATTGTAGACGTAACTTGGCTTTTCTTTGTTCTTCTAACGAAGAGAGGAGAACAGCTCGCGTCGGAAGGAAGCCTAACGAGCTCTCGGTCAGCTTGTCTCTCGACCTAATCAATACAATTACACGTTCTTCACCATAAAGCAAAGAAAAAGAAAAAAAATAGCACAAAATGTTCCTCTTGTTTCAGAACGCAAAGGCCTCCTACGACTTCAGCAGCAACGATCCTTATCCATATCCAAGATACACCGACGATTGGTTCAATAGGTGAGTGAAACGTGGAAAAATCTGCGATATTATTTCCTGAAAATTTCGAAGATTCACTAGCCTCCTTCACCTGCTGATCTTTCCCTTAACGAAGTTTGCCGGGTAAATGTTTGTCATGTAAAACCAGTTATTCCTCGTAACGAGATTAGAAAGAAGGAGGTCTCGGGTAATAGGAACTGCAAGGTAACGTGAAAGCTCGACACGATCGCATAATTAATGATTCACCGGATAGCAGTTAACGTTGGACGCCGTTCAGAGGGTTATTAAGCTCTGGAAAATTGTTTCGAGCTTCTTATTTCAACTCTCTACAATGCTTTTCGCCTTGGTCCGAGGAAGAAGCTCGAAGGAACAGGGATAACGACGTTCGAAATAGCGAATCAACGTGACATTTCTATCGGATAACGAGAAATCGACTTTCCAGTTAGTTAATCGAGGAAAAACTCTGTCTTTCCAACGGGTGAATTTCATAGAAAGGATCGACAGATCGTTAAAACGGAGGATTACGACGACGTAGCCTTTGTAGAAGTTGCGTCTCTGATCGTGACAGAGAAAATACTCGTTTTTCCGCTCGTTCGTTTCGCCGAGGTAATTCAATCTCGTGGATAGAGAATAATTCCCGAGTCGTGCTTCCACAGCAGCTGTCTCTTACGTAAAAATTTCAACCTCGTATCCGCTTATTTTCTTTGGCTTACGCAAGCTCTCCCCGCAATTTCCACGAGTTCCTGACACTGGCAAACGTTTTCCCTTGAATAAACACCGTTGAAAGTCTAACGCAATCCGGAGACACTACGACTTTAAGCTTCTTTTCGTTTCACTCTGTTTAACCCTTTCCTGACAGTAATCGACGCTAAATTCGGACGAGTTTTCTCGTTCGAGTATTTGATAACGTCTAACGAAAGGGTTGACGCGACGAGAAAATTTCAGGGCAACAGATACTTTCCATTGTGAAAATATTTGCAATCTTTTGAAAATTTCGTTAAGTCGAACGTCCACCTTTTCTCTTCGCTTCCATTGTTGCACATTCGAAGAAGGAAGAGAGCGTCGATCTTTGGCCGAACGGAGTTCAATTATCGTGGTTGTTCCGTCGAAAGAAATTCCAGACAATTGTTCACGCTTCTGAGAACGGTCCATTGAATTTTCCGGCAACTCGAGCGGAGATTTTAACGAACGCCCTTCCTCTGTTTCGTACGGGAGCTATAACTCGATTCTCCGATTAACCCAGGCAAGCAGAAGGGAGAGACGTAGGAGAGGAAACGAGTTTATTCAACAAATCAACGTAAAATTGATTAAAACTCTTTCTGCCACGGTCGTTTACTTGGGAATCTGTTAATCCGTGACCTCGTATTTATTTCACGGTACGATATAGAGAAGAAACACGACTAGAGGGGACGATTGCCAATGACGTCTTCGATAGAGACGTTAATGCGTCTCTGAAGTAGCTTATATGCGTTCTTTATGACGTTCGTTTCTCGATTTTATCGCTTCAATCAGAACCCGGCGATAAAGTTAGACGTTAAAACCCCGAGGAGAGCGTGATCAGAGTAACAGAGGGAGAGAGAAGGATAAGATTCAGCTGTATAACTTGCGTGAATCGCGCAAGATCCAGAAGCTTTTCTGAACGCCACTTTGTCCTGTGAAACTTTCACTCGGCTGGATTGCTTTGTGCCCTGGCAACTTTCTCAGCGCAATATCGTGGATCTCTATCGTGTTTGTCGCTTGGTAGTTCCCTTTGACGGCCATTTACTCGTGCCTCCTTCTTTCCAAAGATCCTGCGAACTTCAGATTGATCGTTTGATGCTTCGTTACCGACTTGGATCACGGAGAATTAATGTGAAAAGCGCGCGACGAGAGGGAGAGACTTTCTTCTCTTCGCTATTATTTCTTGTTTGTTTATTAACTTTTAGTGATTACGAGTGGAAAAATGAAAGAACAGGTTTGCGGTGAATTCACGCGCCATCGACTGATCATCGACCACAGTCGTTAATCGACGGCGCGCATATTCAAAGTTAAAGACGCGTAAACTGTAAGTGAGCTCGTGGAATATCCATTCAACATTCTTTTTTAATTTAATGAAAACGAACAAAAACGTCTAAACGATAAGCGATCTCGTGGAATGTTCATTCATAATTTTGTTTTATTCCCGCGCAACGGATGATTTATATTTTTACCTGCGACATTATTTTACGCGATTTATCGGAAGACGGAGAACGTTGCTGAAAATGAACGTTAATTACGAGGTGTAAATATGCATGTTAAAACGAGCGTTGAAATGTCGACGATACGTTGCACTGTTACCGTTAATTGTCCATCGAACCTCGTTTCCTACCAATTCGCTTGCGAATCGACGAGCAAGGTTTCCCTTGAATGTTAATCACGACGAACGTTAAAAAGAAGCTACCTGTAATTACACTGTAATACGAGATGATTCATTTCTGCGATAAATAATCTTCTCGTTGTGGTCGTGCAATCCTCGTAACGATGTTTCCCTGCCGTAAATATCGCCGTACCGCGACGTCCAATTAGGTGAAAATGATACACTACCCCGTTGTTTCACCTGTCCTTTCGCTAATTATGTAAATTGCTTTACCGAGGTTTAATGACGCGGACTATCTGATAAACAGCAATTATACGAGCTTGGAAACGTGAAGTGTAATACGCACACGTTCGATGTGACGA